ACCAATGCAGAAATATTAGTGTGTTGGGTAGGCTGTCTTCTGCGTAGGGCTGGGAGTCTCAAGGCACCTCACGATTTGATTCGATTATGATTCAGAGGGCTGCGATGCAATTATAAAACAATCATCGATGCATTTTCAGGCATTTTTTTTCTATACAGGATTTCTTTTTTCTCATGATCCATAATGATCCATAACGAATTTACTTCCAATATATTTTATTAATAAAACAAATGGAAGCAATGTGGCAAGTGAACTGGAAGGCTCTCATTCACTGCTCTTGTTTGGAGCACATGAGACGCTGCTGCCACTCATCTGTGATAAAATGCAGTTACGGTGACATAAGATTCTGTGGCAATGGATGTCCATGCAGCACATGTTCGGTTTTGGTCTCATTGTAGAGAGTGGGGTGGGGGGGCTTGCTGTGTCAGTAAAATATCTTTGAGATGAGATGCTGTATCTCGGTTCCAAAGTGTCCAACATAGTACAAAAGCCCTGGTTCTCAACGACTGAGAACGGACGCAAATCCTTGCCGATAAAAGTTGTGATAAAGTTATGTAATTCGCTTCCAAGTTGGGTGCAATCTTAGACAACAAATCTGCAACAAGAGACTGTCAAACACTAAAAGTTGCAAAGATGATGTCTTTCAAATTTTCCCAGTCCACCTTAAATGGTGCCGCATTTACATTCTGGCACCTCAGGCAGAATTTAAGGTGGAACAGGAAAATTCGAACAAGAAGCTGGCGAATGAGAAGCTGACTTCAGCCTCGTAAAACAGTTGAACGTTGAGAGACATTTTACAATAAGCTGTTCTACTTTTGAAGAAAGGTTTTCTGGCGGAGATGGGAGGGAAGCGGTTATAGCTAAAGCTTAAAGCAGAGCAAAGTAAGTTTTAGTTTATATTTTTAGCCTATACTACAACATTATTACATACTGAGACATATTGGACATTAAATTGTTGTGGCTCCCAAGGTGGTTTGATTTTTGTTGAAAGGACAAAATGGCTCTTCTTAACATTTGGGTTGTGACTCCTGACCTTACCTAGGTTTTAACGCAGAGAGAGCCGGTCAGATTTCTCGCTCATCCAGTTGTGTTTTTGTTATGTGCATACCACAGACTGTCCGGGCGCTGCACTTCTGCACTTCCAAGTTCTGCCTTTTGCGTTCCATCAATATTACGTTATAAATTAAATACTTAGAAAATCGATTTTTGACATTTGTGAATCGGTTCAGAATCATTCACGTCCACATTGTGATGCATCTAAGAATCGATTCTCTCCCCCCCCCCCCCACCCCTACTTCTGAGGCAACAAATTGTGGTTATAATTGCCTACAAGGTGTAGTTTCTGATGTAGAGTAAATACAGCCACAAATTTAGTATTCAACATTCCAGTTGCTATGAGAATCTAGGATGATGAGTCACTTGCAGTTCTTTCCAAAAAGACACTAATTTAGAAAGAATAACTATTTCTTTCTAACGCAGAATAGTTTCCTCTAAATTTGAGCCAAAACAGAAAAATTAAGTCCTGCAGGCAAGATACAACACCACGTACAGCAAACATGCCAAAAAGATGTGTGTGTGTCTATGCATGTGAGGAATACCTGCTAATAGCCCAGTGTTCACAACTTAATCCCTTTTATCAGTAATTAAGTCATAAATGTAATGATGCTAAATCAGTTAGGTAGGTCATGCTCTGAGACAGCGTTTATGGTCATTATTTTCTATAAAGTGTAGCTTGGACTTTAAGCTCACTATTAAAATATTTGTTTTACTTTGAAGTTACCACCCCTATATTTGCATGGCGTAAACTTATTGTTTTTGCCCAGTAGTGTGTTATGCTTTGAGTGCTGTGGTGGTCCACACCATTATTACAATTTGACCCATAGTTAACTTGCTTAAAAAATAGGAAAAATTTACTACTATGAGGTCCCGTTATGGTTTCCACCTTTTTGGTGGAGAGAAGTGCTTTTGCTGTAACTGGTGGTCAGGCATGTGAGAAGGACTGCTAATAACCCAGATAAACCAGAGTTTACAACCTATTCCTCTTTATCTGTGATAAAGTCATAAATGTAATGCAAAATCAGTTAAGTACGTTATCCTTTCAGGCATCATTTGTGGTCATTATTGCCCACAAAGTGTAGCTTGGACTTTTGGCTCACTATAACATGTTTGTTTTACTTTGATATCACCACATTTGTGTTTGCATAGAGTAAGCACATTGTTCTTGCTCAATCAAGATTGAGTGCAGTGGTGGTTATTCCAGTTTGACCTTTAGTTGTAAAATCATGCCGGAAATGTTGGGGTGATTTTCAAGGTTATGTGACACACTGATTGCACGATTTCGTCACAATACAAACTTTATGTTAAGCATCATAAAATGTCTGGTGAGACTGACTTATCACCCTGGACACCCACAGTAAAAGACAACCAATCACCATTGAGGAACACATGAGGGTCTGGGAGACCTAAAAGTTGAAGCAGCTCAAATTTTCTTTTGAGTTGTGAACTGGGGGTCTCCTGACTTCTTGTTGCCAACATCCAGGTTGGTGCTTCTGGCCCCACTCTGAGCTCAATCAGCACCTTTCTCGTCAGAAGCAAGAAAACACATGCAAACTTCTGGCTCTTTAAATGGTGCACTGGTTTTCATCTGTGATTCCCAGAGAAATCTGATCAGTGACTGATTCTAGCATCAAAGCCTCTCAGACCCAACCCAAGGACCATCGAAGCATAAATATGCAAAGCTTTTCTCTTCTTTCCTTTTTAACATCGGCATGTGTGACATCTCAAAGATGCTGTAAATCCTCTAGAATCTAATTTGGTGTAAACTCTAGAAAGGTATGTTTATAGCTGCTGTATGTCATCTTTATATGGTGAGTTAACTACACCTATTTATTTCATTTTGTATACTATTGTTATAGCTTGCATTACTCTTTTTACCAGTTGCTTTATTCCTATACTTTTTTAATTTCTTTTAAATTTTCTCCAGATAATGAGAACATTATAGCTATTCCAGTTGTTTTTTAACTGTCTCCATATGGGCCTGTTGGATTGGTGCTCTAATTGTTAGAATTATTACCGTCTAAACAATTCTGTGTTATTTGGCAACCCAGTGCTGACTGAATGTTGGACAAAACACATGCTGGTATGTATATACATATATATGTATGTATATACATACAGAAATATCTGTTGTGGAAAAAATAAGTATGTCCTCTAAGCTTAATTGCCGGCTTTCCCTTTTACTTTCCTACATCAACTTCTGGGAGTATTTGCCCACTCCTCCTTACAGAGCTCATTCTCTTGTGTCAAATTGGAGTACTTACTTGCAAGTACTGCCTGTTTCACATACCCTACTGCATTTACGGGGTTAAGATGTGGGCTGTGATTTGGTCATTTCACAACTCTTTATTTCTTCTTGTTTCTGAGCCACACTTTTTAAGTAAAGTCTAAAGTTAAAGCTGTTGTCCTGTTGCAACATCTAATGTCATAATCCGGCTTCAGCATTTGGATAGATGACCTCAAGTACCCTTTGTTACAATCCATGGCAGCTCTATGATGAGAAAGCTGATCAGGCCCTGAGAAAAGGCACAGAAAAGTAGCTCTAAACAGCAATGACTCCACCCCTGTGCTTTACAGTTATTTTCGTACAAATAAACTGTAGAAGAAGGCACCCTTCCAGGTAAGGCTATATTTGTTTAAGCCCAGACATGGAGTTTGCTCTACTATTGAGACATTATATAGGAAGAAAATAAGGATTTTGCTACTATGAAGTGAGGTTTTTAAATACACAGAAAAGAAATACACATAAAAAGAAAAGATAAAAAAAGCAATGACAATAGTTGATTACTGTGGGGTAAATTACTAGAGAGTGTCAGGCCAAATACTGCTTATTCAGAGTCATTCAGAGTGGTTTAATGTAAAATGCTCCAGTCTAGGAAACTTACTAAATTAGTATCGTTTATAGTATTGGTGATGGAAATCAGATATCTGAAGTGTTTAATGCTTTCTAAAAGCTCCCTTACAGAAAGGTATTGTATGTCTGAGATGTTGCTTTATGATAGTCTTGAGCAGATTTTTTAATCCATTAATGGTAGAGAGGGATATGGAAGGTATTGTAAGGTAAAATAGTCCCCAAACAAAACACATTACTTGGAAGACAAGTTCACTGGTGGTTTTGGATGGTAAATAAACTGTCTACATTTGTGTTGCAGTCTTGGAGACCCCTTGTTCCTATCACCATCCCTGTAAAGAAATCTGAGTCTGTAAATTTCTCTGCAATTAACCATTTCACACCAAACTCTGAATGACTGTGTTTACATCTCAGTGATTGAAATATGAGGAACTTCGCAAAATTAATGATATTTCACATTCAACTGAGAAAAGCCAAAGTTTCTATCCTCAAGGAGCACAGATCTATATTTTTTTTACATAACCGTGTCAAGAGATTTCTTTGTAGCAAAGCCAGGGTTCTCTAAAGAACCTATCAGTCAGTTGGATAATTTTTGTACATGAGATCTGCTTTTCACTCAAGCTCAAGGAACCTCCACATATTATAAATGTTCTACACCATTTCAAGATTTCCAAGAAGTAGTGGTCCTCAAAACAGTTCTCAGGGTTTTTAATGCATAGGGATAGAGCAAAAATGTGAACTGGCGAGGAGTCCCTGAGGACCAGTTTGAGTGTTCTTGAGTGTGTGGGAGTTAATTCAAAATTAAATAGTCACTTTCTGTATTTCATGTGTTCATGAGGTTGCAACAACTTTCAATGCTTTATGTGTTCCTGGACTTTGTCTGCAGTGTCTCACAAAACTGGAAACTCTTTGACCTTCTAATAGATGAGATTAGAAGACATTTTTTTATACCTGATAACACCTACTGTGACGCAGTTGTATGGAAATGATCAAATGGCTGTTTTCAATACAAACAGCTCTCTCTCTCTCTCTCTCTCTCTCTCTCTCTCTCTCTCTCTCTCTGTGTGTCTCCTCCTGATTTTACTGTATAAAGCTGTGGGTGACTGTGCCATCCTGCACTTCTCTCAGAATGGAATCTGTGCTAAAATATTTGGAATGGATGTATGTGGGCTTGGCCCTGCTGGGTGGTCTGCTCACTCTGCTTCTGTTGGAGATCTTCAAATTGAACTCCTCCAGGAGCTGCAGCCCCCCTGGACCCAAACCACTGCCCTTTGTGGGTAACCTGCCCCAATTCATTAGGAATCGAATGGCCTTCATCAGATCGGTCAGTTCCCTTTTTTTCCTTTGGTGGTACATTTACTAGCATATCAGATTGATCAGTTTCTGCTTCTTCATACATATTTTATATATTTAAATTGATTTGTAAATGAATATAGAATATAGATGTGAATAGTTGAATATCCGTAAGTCCTTTAAATTTCTAGAAAATTGTTGAGTCTGCAGCAAGTATAGTGCTAGACTTTCTTACATGGACGTGTTTGCAAAATTTCATCCTTCGCCACCATGAAATGAAGAGAGCATTCCATGGTGATGAAGAATGAAAGCTTTACAAACATTCCCAGGTAAGAAAGTATATAAATGCTCTATAAATAGAATATAAAATCTACTACAAGTGTAAAATTTGCACTTAGAATTTTGTTTGTGCAATGCTAACTAGAACATGTGCAAAGTTCACTATAGCTCACCACATGCTGCTATTGTGTAGATTATTGTGGAGAGTGCTTTCATATTTTATTTTATTTTAAATTATTGCCCTCTTTTTTGACAAGCAAGAAAGCTGACTTAAGAGAACAATAAAGTTGATAACTACTGGCTAAAGTCATTAAAACAGTGGTATCCAGACTTATCCACAAAGGGCCAGTGTGGCTGCAGGTTTTCTTTCCAACAATTTGTTCATGGTCAGTTGTTCATGATCAGCTGTTTAAACAAACAGAATCAGGTATAGCTTCATTGGAATGAACATCTGCAGCCACGCCCACCCTTTGCAGATAAGATTGGACACCCCTGCATTAGAAGAACCAATCAGTGTGTGCCCCTAGCAGTTTTTGGGAGCACACTCAAGGACATGAGGTGCCTTGACCCTGATCTGTCCTGGTGAGCTCAATGTTGCTCCCAAGATGTCTAATAGATTCTCTAATGAACTTTAAGAGAGGAGAGACAAAGTAGTCTTTTGTCCGTATCACTGTTGCAGCAAAGGGGAATTGAAGACATTTACCTTGCCTCTTCGGTTATCTGATTTGTTAAGAAGCAAATGGCAAACTTGTACTTGAAATAAGCCACAGTGAACAATCCATAACTGCACCTGCCTATGTCTTACCAACGAGGGCTGATAATACGTAGGCAGGTAAACTTTCACCATGTGAGAGTTTACCATCCAAACCAGTGGTTCTGCAGTTGAATATCTCCCAGCACCTCAGCAACCTGGAGAGGGGCCAGGGGCTCTAGAGTGACCACAATTAAGTCTGTGAAGGGCAGCAAGGCCAATCGTCATCACATTTCTTCACCTTCCATTAGCAATTAACCAGGTCACAGGGCAGTTTTGCATTATTATATGGCTTTCTTCATCCACTGCAAAGATGCGTGATCAGTGACAAGGATGAAAGGACTACCTTTCCATTAGTACTAGTGTTCCTCTGCCAGCCATCTGATAGCAAAGCTTCTTAATCCGTGGGCTGCATACCAGCAGGGCAGGTTTATGACACACAGGACTGTTATTGAGTTTTTGAGATGGCACCGCTCCCAGTCAACTATCTGACTTGGCAGTTTGCACCATGATTGGAAGGCAAGTAAGGGTTACAAAAGACGGAGGATTTTCTTGTCAGCCCTGAGAGGGGATAATTTGTTGAGGTGAAATTAGACTCAAATCTTTGGGAACACTCCAAATTCCCTAGAAAGCATGTATCCAGGACTTTGTCATGAGATGTTCTCTGATACCACCTTTTCCACTATGGTGTATGGACCTTGAGTTTGCAAGACCCAACCTGTCTTTTTGCCACCTTGCCGTTTTGCCACATAATACAATAGGCTTTCCTGAATCACTAACTTGACCTATCCATGAGGGTCCCTGGAAACTCTTTCTGAGGTGGTGGCACATTCTCATTTTGTTTAGTTCAACCCTTGACTAGGATAATCATTATATTTGTTGAGGTGTTTTGGGGTTCTTTAGGCTCACAGTCTTTCTTTTTTTGGAGAGAGAGCTCTGAGAAATCAGTCTATAGCTCCTTATCATAAAGTCATTACCATCTGCTTACAAGACTGCCAGGGTGGTACCTATTCTGAAGAAGACCACTCTCTACAGCTCTGACATCAGCCGCTATCAGTATTATCTATCCTTTCCAGAAGTCTCAAAAGTGCTGTCTGTAATCACTTTTTTTCACTCAGAACCAGCTTCATGATCTCAGCCATTCTTGCTTCAAATTGGTGGACCCTATAAAAACTGCTATCAACACAGGAAAATAGCCAAACTGTCATTGGCACTAATTCTTTTGACCTCTCTGCAGCTTTTGACACAGTTGACATCTGTTTTCACCAACATTATAATAACTGCCTCTGCATGAAATTAGTTTGAGTTCTACTTGGAAGGGTGTAGTATGTATTATGTTATCAGGTAACATGGAGGGAAACATACAGACTTTTCATTGGTGTCCCACATAGCTCAGTGGTGGGTCCTGTTTCCCTTTCTCTATACATTTACTCTACCAATTCTATGCTGATAACACTCAGCTAATCCTTTCCTACCCACCCTCTAACACTTAGGTTTCCAGTCGTATCTTGGCATGTTTTGCTGAGATCTCATTATGGATGGTAGCCCACCACCTGCAGATGAATCCCAGCTAGGGAGCTGCTATACATGTCTGGACCTACAGACTGTGATCTTACCATTTCATTTGAGAACTCGGTGTAAGAAAAACTTGGTGTAATTCTTGATGACCAGGTATCAATCTTTGCTCACTCTGTGCAAACCTGACTCATTCATGCAGATTTTTCCTCCACAACATCTGGAGGAATCTATACTTTCTCTCTCTGTAGTCCTCCCAGGTGCTTCTTCAATCTTCTGCCATCTCAGTACTTGCTTACTAAGCCAAAAATGGACCTGCCACTCCCAACCTGATGGCAGTGGCCAAAACTCAATCCATACTTGAAGCCCTTTGAGTTTCAAGTACTACTTGACTTGCCTATTATCCTTCCAGGTGCCTCATGGACAAGCATGGAGACTTTTCTTTGTCTAGTCACCTATATGGTGGAACACACTTGCCCTGGCTGTCCAAACAGTGTCCCTCCCTGTCTTCAAATGCTGACTGATGACTTATCTTTTTGTGAAACAATTAAATGGCATCTTCTCTAGTACTAGTACAAAGTCTTGTAATGCAAAGGAAATGCCTCATTTCTATATTGAGTATTTTTGTATTTAGGTATCTGCACATTTACATTTACATTTATGGAATGTGGCAGATGCCCTTAACCAGAGTGACCTACAATTTGATCCTTTTACATGAGAAGGCTAAGGTAGCATTAGGAGTCTTGCTCAAAGACTTTCTTTGGTATAGTGTAGGAATTGAACCCCAGTCCACAGCGTGGAGAAAGGTAATGTCTACTAAATGCTATAAATGAAATTCAAAAATCAAAACTGAATCAGGTTGTTAAAGAAAACAATGAACTGTGAAGAGACTATAATTGGCCACTTGCATATTGAAGTCAGCAAACACACCAGAAAACAAATGTGGCAACTGTTGCATCAGCACATATACTTGTCCATCCCAACATTGTAGGTACAGTAAACATTTTACACCCTTTCAGATGCCGAAATATGGTGAGATTTGCACAGTATACTTTGGAAAGAAGCCAACGATCATGCTGAATACCATGCAGATTGCGAAAGAAGCTTTTGTTCAAAATGGGAACGTGTTCTCTGGAAGGCCATCCATGCCAATAATACGCTCCAGCAAAAGCTATGGTTTGTATTGCATGACTCATTGGCTTAAATTCATAAAACTTACTACCAGATTTACTGTGACAAGAGTTCAGATTAATAGATTTAAGAGGCAATAAATTTAAAACAGCCTCTTCTTCCGGCATCAAATGTTTGGCGAATTCCTCTCCTGCGTATGTAAAGGTTTAGCTTGGAAGCCAAATAAATGAAGAATATTTTAATTTGTTGAGATTCTAATTGCATTCGATTCTAACTGCATTTGATTTTATTCTAAACAGTTTTAGCTTTTAACCCTGTTTTTCAGTTGACAGTGGATTTTACAAAGACATTCAAATTTAATCAAATAAAAATGACATTTCTTACTAGTAAAACTGAATATTTGCTATTCCAAATGTAATATTTACTCTTGAAATTTGTATTATTACATGTGCAAATTAAATTAGTAATTAGAATTTCAACATTTTAATTCTTGTGGGCAAAAAATGACCACATGTTAAACTTTAATTCATGTTACTAAAAACTGTTACTGCAAATTATAATGAAATGGAAAAAGGCTTGAATTCTCACCAAAGAGAAATGAAATTCCTAATGTCATTCATATAATTGAAAGTTGAATTTTAAGATGTTATCATTTTCATGAACGTCATATTTTTGTATCCATTTTGGCAGCCAACCAGAGCATCACTTGGTGTGCTTCTTTATTATGGTGGTGGTATGACCTCATTTAGATGTCAGTTTAGATGTCAACTTTGATTGGCTCTTGCCTAGAACACTGACACACCAATCAATAGCTCTTATTTACTCTACTGTGAAGTTTTATGAATCTGGACCATTAACGTCTGTGATTGACCTTTACTGATACTTTTACTTTATCTTTGGAAAAAAATAGAAAATCTAAGTGTGCCATTCCATCTCTTTACAACTTTTTTTCCATTCTCTTCTGTTATCTCTTTTTTCTTCTCTACATCTCTCTCTGCCGCTTTCAGGTATTGTGATGGCCCAATATGGTCACTCATGGAGAGAGCAGCGACGGTTTGCTCTGCACACACTGCGTGACTTTGGTCTGGGAAGGAAAACTGTGGAAGAGCATATTTCAGAGGAGGCGCAATACCTCCTCAAGGAGATGTTCAAACAAGAAGGTAGGAAAGATTAGTTATGCCAATTTCAGACAAAGGACACCTGAGCTGGGGTGAACTGTAAAGAACAAGGAAATCAGTTACCCTTTAGTGTGAAAGGAGTTGTGGTTATGCGTTTAATTGCTTTGCCTTTTTTTTTAACAGGTTCTATTAAAACTTTAAAAAAAAAGAAATCCAAATGTTTAAACAACCTAATATTTCAATAATCAACTAACATGCTCACCATTCACCTTTTAGTTCTGACTTACAATAAACTGTTTTTAAAGAATTTTTGTTGTAACATCTGGATAAACACATATCATTAATGTACATTCTCTAACATGGTATGACTCTCAAAAGGGTAAAAGATTTTTCTATGAATGTCACCTTTGTAAGCATCTATAAACACATTCACAATGTGTTATAATGCATTCATAAGGCATTATAAACATGGCTATAAATATTTATAAAAATGCATTACACGTTATAGCCATGCTTATTATGCATTATGAATTGTTAACATAATACATTATAAGTACTGATCATAACAAATTATAAGAGCTTATAAGTCGTATTTGTCTGCTCTAAGTAAAGTGAAGTGTACTGTACTAAAGCTTCCTCCGGTGTTAAGAGTGGAGTATTTACTGAAGGATTTACTGAAACACTAAAACATACCCAATAAAGCACATTACAGGCTTCAAATGTCAGAGTTTAAACTAGAGCTGCCATCAGTGTTTTATTCAATGTGGGAAAGTCAATGTACACCACCGTTAGCTTGGTATTTGTCTTTACGCTCTCCAAGCTGGGACTGACTTCTTTGGCACTGACAGTATAACATGTTATCAACACTACTTCTAATGCATTATATTAACAATTCATAATGTATAATAAACATGGCTATAAAGTGTAATCCAGTGTAATTCATTTTTATAAATGTTTATAATCATGTTTATAATGCCATATGAAGGCATTATAACATGTTATAAATGTGTTTATAGATGCTTACAAACGTGACATTCATAGAAAGTGTTACCAGATTTTTTTCATTTTTCACTAGCAGCACCAATTTCTAACAATGTGCAGCACCATCTTAGTTAAGGATAAATTACAGAAACAAAATAAGACACCACTCCAAGACTGCTTCACATATTAATCCATTGTGAATTTTAAATAAGCTCTAAGCATGTTCCCAGCTATTTTTATAACTCAAGCAAAGTACTTCAGCTTGTGCTCTTCTTGTTTTCCACACAAGTTTTAGCTTACTGAATGAACTGGTCCAGCCTTAAATAGCTAGAAAACATCAAATAAAAACATATTAACAGTGATTAACATACTTCTCATATTTGCCTCAACTTCTGTTTACTTACTCTATGCTACTTTAAAAAAAACATACTTAAAGGTCATCAGCTGTTTTGCTCACCTGTAAATAACAAGGGAACCAGACACGATTTAGTGTGTAAGCTCTTCTGGTTATGCATTTTATTGCTTTGCTTTTGACCTTCGCCAGAACTGCAGATTTCCTATGACTGTCAATATAAAGTGCCATCTACAGGGCAATCTACATAGCAGCTTTTCCTGATTTTAGTTTTGTTCTGTTATATTGAAAAAAACTAATAATTGATAGAGATTTCTCTTTTCTATTCTAATTTAACAAACAAAATAAAAATAATAAAATATGTAGGATGCCTTTTTTGTGCTTCAGATTTCTACACCACTACATATTGTCTGTCATTTGTTGGTATTTCTTTGTTAATGTGATTGTTTCATTGTCAATTACTGTCTAATTGTTTAAATGAAGTTTTGTTCAAATGAACTCAAGCCCTATTGGAGCTGGATTAGTTTTACCTGGGGAGGTGTTACAATTTGAATGATTACTGACAAGATTCATGATTTTAATTCTGTAAGAATCTGCCTTGTCCATAGTTTTCAACAAGTCTGCAAATTCCGAAATGAATAACCTTCTGGAGTGAATTTGCTGAAATTTAGATCTCCCTAATAGTAGTCCTATTTGAATCGACATCACAGTAATGAAATAATAAAACTGGGTAATAGAAATCGGAGCCTCCATTTTTGTCCTTTTTTACAATATGAAGACAAGACTAATAGCTAAAATGGAGCTTGATCCAACCCAATTCCGTAATCCTCAAGGTTATGACCAGACTACTGAAATCCACAACAATTTGGGATTTTACAATCCCATTCTGTCCAGTACATTCTGATTATGCACCATTACTTGGAATTGCCAATGATAATGTGCGTCAGCCCACAATGAAGATGTGAAATCTCCTAACTCCTCTAGTGTTGTATTTTTTATTATTTGCCCATTTAACTGCAAAAACATGTTGTTATTGTTCAGAAGTGAGGCACTTATCACATAATGCTGACATAAATGTCCACATGATGATGTTTCAATGTAGTGTATTTGGGGTAATTTGGGAAAAGTATGCAGATCCTTTATCCCAGTCAAATTTACATGCAAATTACATTACCAGACCTCCTCGGTAAAACAAATCAAGCTCCAATAGGACTTTAAAGGAGTTAATGCTTAATAAGCTGAATTTGGTTAATCACACCACTCTATGCTGTAGTTCAGAAACTGTAAATGTCATGGATTTTTCAAACATCCCTGCTGACAGTAAAACAAGAGTTCCCTCCATTTTTTTTTGCTGACAGACATGTAACTATTTCATAGTGATGACATTAAAAAAAGTTCTACTGTTAGGTTTCTGTCCTTGTATGTTCCTTATCAAATACACTCTTCTGCCATTTTTCTTGAAGGAAAACCTTTCCATCCCATCCACCTTCTTATGAACGCAGTATCTAATGTGGTCTGCTCCATCATCTTTGGAGACCGTTTCGATTATGACAACAAGCGCTTTGCTATGCTGCTGAAACTTCTGAATGAAAACGTTCAGCTTGCTGGATCAGCTGTGGCGCAGGTAATTAGTGGAAGCTTTCCTGGTGAAGTCAGGTGTTTTAAAAAAAAAGGGCATTTTGATGTGATTTTGTGTAAATAAACTGTAAAATTAAATGATGCAATTTAATTTTGAATGAAATACTTTTTACTTTTTTTGCAGCTTTGCAACTTGGTTCCTATCATAAAACACTTTCCAGGGCCTCAGCAGAAGATCTTGCATAATTCCTTTGCCTTAAAAGATTTTATCCTTGAATTTGTGGAGGAGCACAAGAAGACTCTGGACCCAGACAACCTCCGGGACTTCACTGACGCCTACCTGATTGAGATGACCAAGGTGAGAGGTCAAACTTCAGGACATGCTCTTTGACAGCAACAAAGACAGTGCTGCATACTTTACAGTTCTCCAGAACACCAATTGTAACCATTAGTTATCTGTGATGTTAAATGGTGGCTGTGTTATTTATTTTCTAGTTGTGAACATTTGTGACTGTGGAGTTGAAGTTTTAATACTAACTGAATCATCCAACCAGCTTTCAGTATTCTACAGTGGTGGATGTCTTACAGAATTGAATAATTTCTTGTTTTGAGCAGCAAGAGTCAAAAAAAGACTCTACATTCCATGTGGAGAACATGATAACTTCGATCTCAGACCTTTTCTTTGCTGGGACAGACACTACAGCAAATACCCTCCGATGGGGACTTATTTACATGATGAACCACCTCGACGTGCAAGGTACTGCTACAAGTCACCAATAACACTGACCTGATTTCATTTGTTCACTAAACATGGTTTAAGAAATGGTATTCCTTTTGTTCGTCCATGACCTGAACATTATTGTATTACGAATTGGTTAATGACTCAGTAAGAAAGCTGTTATTGCTGTATGTCCTATAACATCTCTCTTTAGTGCCTTCTGTTTTTTCACATTCTTTCTCATGTGGCTGTTTGACCACATGTCAGAACGCTGTCATGAAGAGATCATTCGGCTGATGGGTTTTGACCGCTCTCCCTGCATGGGTGACCGTACACAGCTCCCATACACTTGCGCCACTATTTATGAGATCCAGCGCTGCGCTAACGTCGTTCCTCTTGGTGCAGCACACCAAACCACAGAACCAGCACAGCTACGAGGATACCACCTGCCCAAGGTAATGAAGGGATAGGGGGATTGTGGATTTAATACATGACAGCCTGAATGGAACTATGTATGAATGTATTAAAAGCTGAATGGGAACACTCAATCAAAGGAAAGATGAATTATTAAGTATGAATGGAGGTATAGCCACAAAAGTGGGGTTATTAGATCATGTTTTGCCAATATATTTTGACACGCATATTAGAGTTTTATCTGTTTTTTACTGCAGCTTTTTTGAGTTTTATGACTGACTAATGCTAGTTTCAGAAAACTGAAAAATTAGGACTGGCCCAAACAGAATTTTACAGACTTTTCTTCAACCATGGTTTTAAATATGTTCATTACTGCACTTTAAAATGCATCCACTAGGCTGAAACAATGTATAAATAGATAAGTATAAATAAGTCACCTGTAATCTGTCATTTTGTTTCATAAATCAGAGCAATTCACCTGTATGCCTTGTATTAGGTTAAATTTTTGTTGAAAAAGTCTTGTTGAAATTGTGTTTTTCTTGTCTTTAATTCTAAAACAGTTGGGACGCTGTGCAAAATGTAAATCAAAAAAGAATGCAATGATAGGCGAATCATTTAAACACGATATTTAATAGACAATAGTACGGAGACAATATATCCAATGTTGAAACTGAGAAATTTTTTGAAAATTATGTGCTCATTTTTAACTTGAGCAACACATTTGAAAAAAGTTGGGACAGGGCAACAAAAGACTGGTAAAGTTGTGTAATTATAAAAAAAAAAATAAATAAATAAAAAAAAATGGGTGGAACATTTTAAAACTAATTAGGTTAATTGGCAACAGGTCAGTAATATGATTTGTTACAAAAGAGCATCCCAGAGTCTTTCAGAAGTAAAAATCTGTGAAAGACTGCACGGGCAAATAGTGCAACAATTTAAGAATAACATTCATCAACATAAAGCAGTAAAAATCTTGGGGATTTCATTATTTATAGTACATAATATAATTAAAAGATTCAGAGAATCTGGAGAAATCTCTGTATGCAATGGACAAGGTCAAAAACCATTATTGTCTGGTAGTGATCTTTGGGCCCTCAGGCAGCACTGTATTAAAAACACAACATGATTCTTTAATGGAAATCACTGCAAGATCTCAGGACCACTTCTGAAAACCACTGTCTGTGAACACAGTCCATCGCTGCATCCACAAATGCAAGTTAAAACTCTACCATGCAAAGAAGAAGTCATATATAAACAGGATCCAGAAAAAACGCCACCTTCTATGGGCCCGAGCTCAATTTAAATAGACTGAGGCGAAGTGGAAAAGTGTCCTGTTGTCTAACGAATCAAAATATGAAATTGTTTTTAGAAAAAAACATGGACACCGCATCCTCCAGGCTATAAGGAGAGGGACCATCCAGCCTGTTATCAGTGCATTGTTCAAAAGCCACTATCATGATGGTATAGGGGTGCATTAGTGCACATGTCTTGGGTGACTTCTGTGAAGGCACCATTAATGCTAAACAATATATACAGGTTTTGGAGCAACACATGCCACCATCCAGACGACGTCTTTTTCAGGGAAGGCCTTGATTATTTGAGCAAGACAATGCAAGACAATCAGGTGATGAAACATCATGCCCCTGTCCCAACTTTTCTGAAATGTGTTGCTGGCATCAAATTCAAAATTTGCATTTATTTTTTAAAAACAAAATTTCTAAAAAAGTTTCAACATTTGATGTGTTGTCTTATATGTCAATATGTAGTACTATTTTCAATTGAATATAGGGTTTAAATGATTTGCCTATCATTGCAATCTGTTTTTATTTACATTTTGCACAGCATCCCAACTTCAAAATGGGGTTGTACTTTAAAAAGTTAAGTAATTCAAAAGTAATGGAAAGTATTACATTAAAATATTACATTCCTTTAATATAGTAAATCTTTGTATTAGGTTGCAATTACATTTTTAACAGATAATCAGTAATCTGTACCACATTTTTTATCATCTGATCATTTTAAGTACCCCCACACGTGACTATTCAGGCATCTTTGCTTTTTCAGTGGTTCAGTGTGGAAAGTAGTGCAGTTTGTCTTTGCTGACACTTATTTTGGGCTAAAATCTTTGTGGCATAAAAAAAGCCAATACTTCCAAATACTAGATATCATAATAATTATAAACAATAAAATATTGTTGAACAACTTTGATCCTTACATTGCATATTTAAAAACTGTATAGCAATTTTATAATTATTTACAACTTTCTCTGTCTTTTTAATATGACCGAAAATACAAAAAATAAAACTTCGCAGCTCATCTCTGACTGCACAGCCAGGCCATTTAATTTACTTCAATGCATGTGTGTTATTTATATGTTTCTCTTTCCCATGGCAGGGATCTGAGGTCATGGTCAACTTAACGGCCATCATGACTGACAAAGAGCACTGGAAGTATCCAGACACGTTCAACCCAGAGAACTTTCTGGATAAAAAAGGACAGTTCTGCAAAAATGAATCCTTTCTGCCGTTCTCTCTGGGTGAGTCTGCTGCTGGTGTCTACCTGAGGGTCCATGGGCAATAGAGATTGATTAAGAATGTACAAGTGTGACTCATTCCCAGACCAGAAATGATGTGATGCAGACCTGACAACCCCCGAACAGCACTAAACTCCGAAAATTTTTTATTGGAAAAATTCTAAAGTCGACTCTAATTTGGATTTGATTCCAAGATTCAGTTGAACACAATCATTTTCTTGATTCTTGGTTCCAAAAATCGGTAGTTAAACAGAAAGGGGTTAAGTGTGAACACAATCTAGAGCTGAAATGACGTGCCAGGTCCACTTCCCACAAATGTACTTAGAGGGCTCAGGGGTGAACCGAAGCCAATACGTTATCAGGAAAATTGCTTTTATTTCTGAAAATTGTTAATTTAGCAGTTTAGCTTAGCAACTTAGTTTATCACTGTGTTCAGATTAGTTTAGCTAATTCACTTATCTTCTTCATTTCCTACTCTCACTATTGTTTGAGTTCAGGTTTCACCTACAGTGAAAATAAACAGCATTCCTATCTGGATTATCACAGTGGCTAACATACACAAAGAAAACAACAAAAAAACAACATAGAAACTTCTCTGATTAGCCACGCTAGCATTGAGATGGTTTGTGTGTGTGTGTGTCCTGCAGGTCCGAGGGTGTGTCTTGGCGAGTCTCTAGCAAAGATGGAGCTCTTCATCTTCTTCACCTCTCTGCTCCAGCAGTTTAAGTTCTCATGGCCTCCTGGAGCTCCACCGTACAACATGGATGGTGCTGGGTTCTTGGTTCTCGCTCCATTGCCCTTCAATATAATCTGCCGCAGCAGACAGACCCCTCACTGAATCACCGATGTGTTCAGTCTTTATACCTGAACATTCAGTACCAGACCTGGAGAACTTCCTCTGCTCTAATGCATGTAATCAATCTTAATCTGAGTATACTATCAAGTTTTTGCTTTGCACCAGGACCAACCTGGGGTAAATGTACATGGGGTAAATACATGATTTCCACTAAAATAATGAGCACAATAGTTACATTTTATCAGGTATTTCTAACAGAGGAATTATACAGTTTGAAATGTATGTAAAGGCTATTTTTGTAATGCTTAGACTGGGGTCTAAAATTCTGAAATCACATAGAAAATCTGGGATTTTTTAATATTTAAACCTGGAAATACACAGAAAGAAAAAAATATTAAAACAAAAAAAAGTTTATGCGCTATTTCTAGGTCAGCATTCAAATGTAAAGCTGAGTTGCCATGTAAAGCCTGAAATAAACATATAAAAGTCAGAGATGTCAGATTGAATGTTATTCTGACCACATCATGAGTTTATGTATTAGTGTCACATGCAAAATCAACATTATACTAATGATGGTAAAATAACAATAGTAGATAATTCATTTACATCCTCAGAAGATGCATTCTTCATTATATTTTGACTTAGTTCTCTTTGAATTCTTTCTTAACACACTTTCAATCATCAAATTCATCCACTTGGGGAAGGGGTCAGAAGCACAACCCATGTTACAAAATGTTCTTCCACACATTGTGTGCAATCACACATTTCCACCAGAGTCTCCAAATCCCCAATCTTAAATAGTGCAGCAAATTTGTAGCACTGACCATGTTAAGGAAAGTCAGATTTGTGTTTTTGAGTCTTATTTTTTCAATTGAAGCCTGTGTTCAGGAACTTTCAGGATTGGATTTACTCATCAGAGACTTTTGCACAAACTTGTGGAGTTCATTTCATTAAAGCAAAATGGGGACATACTGTACCAAATATAAAGAAATCCTGAAATTCAGTGCAATATTTAAAAGATTCTGCTTTTCATTCAAAGTGTTATACTGTAAATATTTTTACTATAATTCCAGAACTTTTATCACTTTAGAGCTTTGATCACTTTAAGATTCACACTGCCTGTTATGCTTGTTATGTCTGCTTCTTGTTTTTAAAGTTCATTATTTGATTATTCGGAGAATTTTCATTTTGACAATATTGATGACCTAATATACAATTTCATTTAAACCACATAGAACCAAGTTGGGACGCTCTGCAAAATGTGAATAAAAAAGAATGCAATGATGTGCAATTCATTTAAACTATACATTTAAAAGAAAATAGTACAAAGACAACATATCAAATGTTGAAACTGAAAAAAAATATTGTTCTCTTGAAAAAAAAAAAAACATGCCCAATTTGAAACATTTCAAAAAAGTTGGGACAGGGGCAACAAAAAACTGGTAAGGTTGTGTAATGCTAAAAAAAACACCAGATGGAACATCTCACAACTAATTAGGTTAATTGGCAACAGGTCAGTAACATGACTGGGTGTAAAAAGAGCATCCCAAACAGGCTGAGTCTTTCAGATGTAAAGATTTGGAGGAGTTCACCACACTTTGAAAGATCACATGGGCAAATACTATAAGAACTCAAAAATAATATTTCTCAATGTAAAACAGCAAAGAACCTGGACATTTTCAGAGAAACCAGAGAGATCTTTGTATGCAAGAGACAAGGCTGAAAACTAATATTGGGTGGCCATGATCCTCAGGCCCTCAGACACGATTCTGTAGTAGAAATCACTGTATGGGCTCAGGAGCACTTTTGGAAACCAATGTCTGTGAACACAGTTCATTGCTGCATCCACAAATGCAAGTTAAAGCTCTACCGTGCAAAGAACAAATCATATATAAACAAGATCCAGAAACACCACTGCCTTCTCTGGGCCCGAGCTCATTTAAGATGGACTGAGGCATAGCGAAAAAGTGTCCTGTGGTCTGACAAATCAAAATTTGAATTTCTTTTTGGAAATCATGATTCTTAGTAAATATTGATTAGAAATCTTCACTTAAGGAAAGAGGCTCAGTTTGTCTTTACTTAAAGTTAACTGGTGGTGATTTATTATTGAGGTATGAATAGGAATTCATGAAAGTAAGCACATTATAGAGACCATTGCTAAGGTAAGTGTTGTGCACAAGACTATGATGTGTAATATACAAAAAATGCTTAATTCACCCTAGTTCCAACTTAATAAAGTAGTTATTATTAGCCAGTTAATATTATGACACCGTGTTTTGTCTGCGGCACTGCAGGATCAGCAACATAAAGAGACTGAACTGGTGATGATCAGTTAAAAGCTTGAGGAACTGACCAATAGAGCTTTTGAAGCCATGTGATTAAAATCAACCACAATAAAATGGTGTGCTATGATATCTAGTACCACACTGGAAGAATAAAACTGTGGACAGCACCAACGAAAAGAACAAAACCTAACCATGCTTGCCAATTCTGAAACAAAAAGTACTTAGCTAACCTACAAAAGGAAACAAAAGCTACCTACACTACACTTCCTTGGCCAGCAATCAAAAGCACACATGGCAGTGCCCACCTTCTGATCTAGGCAACTAAACAGAATAGACTTCTACATGGTGTGAATGTATAGGTGCCCCTTTAACCTGTTTGAAACCCCAGGTGGTACAAATAATCAAGTGTGCAGGTAAACTACCACAACTAAAGTACTTCCCCCAAACACAAGAGACAAAGTCTTGTATAAAGATGTTACACTTGATACCAGAGCAACAAAGCAGTGTTGGCACTTTGTGTTGTGAATCGCATTGAAACAATGTTGCAGTGCCTCACTTTAAACGCTGGATTCACGTGATAATCACCAACTAAGCTTTGTTGCGTCACTGAAAATGATTCAAATACCCCAGACTTCTTCCATGGGGTTAAACTAGTGAACTCCAAAATGATTTCTGTTGTTTTCAGTTGTCATATTTCAACTATTTTATACTATATTTAAATATTATATTCTTGCATTGTTTGTACACTGATCCACAAATAAAAAGACATATCTATAATTGGCCTATTTTTGTGTCTGAACCTAATGTACCCAGAGGAAGTTCAAGAGCATGTAGAAAAAAATACTTGAGGGTTTCCTCGAAAGAGGATGACTGTGTGACATGTTGTCACGCATCCTTCAGGCTCTGAGGTCTCTAGGGACTCCATTTCCCAGAACCCCCAGGGAAATCACATGATTCTCAGCCCTCCATCTCGCTCCAATCACCGCTCTCTGTCACCAGAGTATTAACTGATTTCACCTGTTCTCATATAATTAGTTTAGTATAAAGCCCGGGCTTTTAGTCTAGTTCATTGCGAGGTATTGCTTCTTTTCCCAAGAGGTACTCAGTGTTATATTCTTCTATTGTAATTTTCCGGTTTTCGACTCTGTTTGCTGTTTTTGACTTTTGCCCTTTTGCCTTTGCCCTTTGGACTTTGTTCGCCTTATGTTTGTCTTTTTGTGTTGCTTGCCTTTGCTGGATTTGACCTTCGCCTGCTTTTGGACCACGATATTGGATTACGACTCTAACATTAAAGCCTCACTCTCTTTTTTTAACCGCGAGCGTCTGAGTTATTCTGCCTCGTTACACATGTACACGAACAGAAAACACCACAGAGATTTTTTTCAGTATTAAATATAGGATCCCTTTCATTTAGACAAAATAAAGTGAAATGTATGATATGTGACCAAACGCTATACTACTCAAATAACACCTCTTCAATGCTTCTTGACAGGATTATAATTATTTACATTACCACAAATATTATGAGTCTTCATTACTTGGGAAGTTTATGATGTATGCATGAAGACAAGCCAATGTAATGGAAAAAACCTTAATTTTAATATTATTTTCTTTGTCCATAGTTCATATGAGATGGGGAATCATATGTCAGTGGTATTTTTATTTAATGTTCAAATGATCAAATTCACACATTTGTATTGCAGTAAAGGTTTATTTGTGCAAATAAGCACAATCAGTAGGAAACAGTCACTGTAGGAAACTGAACTGGACAACAGATAGCAGCACTGAGCCAGGTGTCAAATGCTTCAAAACACTGAACCATTTTCCAATACAGTTGGTTAAACTGTGATGATGCTTCAAAAAGGCCATAACTAGTCTTGTACGCTAAGTTAAAAGAAGTGCTGGTAAAATACCTAAAACTATCCCTACACAAGAGATTAAAAACACAGCACACATGCGAAATGTTCTCTCTCTCTCAGCCATCTTGAATGCTTAAGTCCCCCCCTCCCCAACTGCACCAGCAAGGCCTCGGATTGGTAAGAGATTCTCCTCACATGACCGATTGCAGAGCAGGTACACCTGTGAAGAGAGAGACCATGAGAGAGAGACACAAACAAAAAAGCCAGCATACATGCTTACACAAAACAATTAATAATAACTGGCTTGATAAACTAAATAGACATTAACCATGTCTACTTTAAATGCACAGTCACTTTAATCTGCAGTTTTATTGATCTTCGTGTTTATATTCGTAAAGACTATTGTTGATTAAAAATGCACTGATAAAAATACACAGCTTTTATTGCTGCTGTGGACTATCAGCTGGTCTGATTATCTACTGTCCTGTAAATTATGGCTGTATAGTTGTATAGTTATTGTACATGTTGTACATAAGAATTTATTGCTTAGTGTTTGTATAGTTTGTGTTTATTTGACTTATTGTCTGTCTGCACTGCTGTCTGCTGCTGTTCTATATTAAATGTAACACTGTGTCCTGGAGAAACTACACTTTGTTCCTCTCTCAACACATTGTGATGAAAAGAAATGACAGTAAAGCTGACTTCACTTTGAAAAGATGTGCAAAAGATTATGTTGGACAAATGGAAATGCTTTGGATCCCTCTTAAGTTAGTCTAGTTATTGCTTAAAAAGCAGCAATAAGCAGCCAGCTATTGGCTTTATAAGGCTTAATAATAGCATTACCAATGCATTATAATGTCCACCTTTACGTAAGTGTTATTGAAACCATGACTTTAATAAATGAACTCTGTTATCAGATCTGTCAGTGAGAGGTCTGGGCTGAAGGGAATGCAGGTGAAGAGTGCCAGAGAGTCCAAAGATTATGACATTATAGGTCATATGGTGTGTGTGTGTGTGTGTGTGTGTGTGTGTGTGTGTGTGTGTGTGATGAGGGGGTGGTGTAGTGTGTGAAAGGTGTTTGCATGTGAAATGTCAAATGTGATTCTACTAGATCAAAACAACCTATCTGTCTATCTGCCTGTGTGCCTGTGTGTCTGTAAAAATCAGAGTGGTTGTTAGTGCCTCTAATAACTATGTAGCTACACATTAACAATACATGCAACGATGATATAACTACAAGCGACTCATCCAATGCGTCCCAACAGTTTCTACTCATGTAATTACACAAGTGTATCTTCATAGCTGTGACAGCATATGTTATGTGTAATTACATTGTGAACTGCTGT